AGCACCCCAAGGCTGCAGTTTCCCAGCCAGAGCAGGGTGATTTCTCTCCTCTAAAGGCAGTCCAAATCCATTTCCTTCATATTTATATGGATAAATGCACACACCAACCCCCGTGAGCTCGTGGCACCCGGGTGCTGGGTGAGCCCAAGCCAAGCCCCGCAGCCCCACCAGAGGCAGCAGTGCCAGCGCGGAGCCATGGGAGCCCAACGCGGGAGGACGAGTGATTAAACCTGGCCATCTGGCCTGCCTGCATGCTGCTGCCTCCTCCTCCCCCTCCTCCTCTTCCTCCTCCTCCTCCTCTCCATGCCTGCATGGCTCTGCACATCGCTGAGGATGCTCTCCCTGGGGATGCACGGACGGGGTGCCCTGGGGAGCTGCCTAACCTCCATCCGCTCTCTCCCTGCATCTCCTGCCTCGGTTTCCCCACCTGTAGCATGCAGTTCCTTCCCATGGGAGGAAGGGTCAGGGGAAGGCTGGGAGGAGGAGGAGGAGGGAGCGTTGCTGCTCTGGTTCCAGAGGTTAATGGCTTTTCCTGAGCGAACTCCTGGGCAGGCTAATGGGATTCGATAATTCTGCCAGCCCAGCATGTCCTCTCGCCTGTCGGTTCCCATCAGCGTCTGCAGACAACAGTGGTGGGTTCACCTTCAGCAGGGCGCCCCTCTTACTCAGGGGGGTTTTGGGTTCCTGGGTGGTTAACCCTTCCCTGCCTGGCCACAGCTCTCCTGGAGACCTGGTCTTCCTGGCCAGGAGTTAGCTGACCTGCACAGAGCTGCCTGCGAGAGCGTTGGGCGCTCTCCATGGGTGCTCTCCTTTAGGGCCAACAGCACCTTTCTCACTGAAACGGATGGGTTTGGACACACTGGTGGCAATGGCAAATCCATGGGGTGGGTGAGCACCGGGCTGTGCCTCCTATGGAAAACCACTCCTTGTGTCTGCCCTGCCTTTGTGATGTTGGTCCCCCCCAAGATAAATCTCCTTTTGGGGTCTTTCCCTTGGGGACCCTCCAGTTTAACTGACTCATCTGGAGCGTCTCACTTTCTTCTGGGGTCTGCACCCTCCGGACAGGCAGCCCTGAGGCCCAGGGGATGGCCCCATCCCTTGGGAAGGCAGGAGATGCTGTGGGCTTGGCCGCCTCTGCTTGTGCCAGTGCCGCTGTCTTTGAACCACCCTTTGTACGGGCAGCGAGCTGGGGTAGCCAGGGAGGACGAAGGCGTCTCCTTCCTCCACTTCTCCCTCCGCATCCCCTTTGTTGTGTTTCTCCAGGTGGCCCTGGGCAGAGGTGGGTGTTGTGCCAAGACGTCTGCCCAGATTAGTGCATCGGCTCTGACGCCCCGGCGCAGAGCGTCCATCTGTCCCACTTAAGCCAGTGGGAGACAGCCTGACCCCAGCCAGCGCTCCTGCTCCCCCCTCCCCCCAGCCCCCAAAATCAGGGGTGGGGGGGAATTTGGGAACGTCATGTCCCTTCCCTACCCTGGTGAGAGGAGCCAGGTGGGCTCAGGACCTCCGACAATTGGGGTCAAATTAACAATATGCTCCCACATTTGACTTTTCCCTTCCCCACTGAGTCTAAACCGGCACCATCTTGCAGCGCCTTGTACAGGTTGATGCCAGGAAAAGTAACTGGAGGCGGCGTTCAGCTTTTTTTAGATTCCCCCCCCCCCCCCGCAACTGGGCTTTCTGAGGCTGATGAAACAGCCCCATGGGCTGGGATGCAGGCTCGAAAAGGAGAGGACTGGCTGGAAGGTGCTGAGCTGGATCCAACTGCTGGGAGCTGCCCCGGTCCATGAAGGTTTTCCTTAGCAATTTACAGGCACAGACTGGGCTCCCTGCAGTCAAAGCAAGCTGCATCCTGGCTAAAAAACTCCGCTGATGCTGGCGAGCACCTGACAAATTCCCAGTCAAGCGAGCCAGCCCGGTGCTGAGCCAGCACTAACAGCGCTGCCCGATGCAACCCATCGTGGAGGGGTTTTGGGGCTCTGAAGCATCCCAGCCCCGCTCTCCCCTTGCTAACAGCCCCCAGGGCTGGGTAATGCACCGCTGTGGCTCTCCAAGGTGCGTAATGCCCATTAACATCCCCAAATGTAAGCAGAGGGAGGCATCCCCCCCGCCTTCTCCTCTTCCCACCCTCCCCGATGAAGCAGAAATGTGCTGATGCAGAAAAGCCGATCAGCATCTCATCCCCGCTAGGCAATGCTGGCCGAGAGGGATGGAGTAACAGCATTAAAAAAGGAGCCGCCGTCGATAATTTCTCAGCGCTGGGCAGCCGGCGTTAAGGCTGACCTTTGGAGAGCTGGCGGGGCTCTCTGAAGGCAAAAGGGAAGCAGCTGCTGACAGGGATGGACCGATGCCATTTCCAACGACAGGTCGCGGCTCTGGGGATAAACATGTTGCCTGCTGCTCGATATCTATCGGGCGAGCATGCTCAGGGAAGGGTTTTGCCACGATATACGGACCCCGAAAGCCTGCGAGCAGGCTTTCGGGATCCCTGCTCGCAGGCTTTCGGGGTCCGTATATCGTGGCAAAACCCTTCCCCAAGCGTGAGTGCTGGGTTGCCCAACAGCTATCAAAAGGTTCACCCTGGAGTCAGCGCAGCTCATCCTCCAGCCTCTTCCCATCCTATATTTAAGCATGGGTGTAGTTGGTCCATGTGCTGGTTTCCTCCTCCTCCAGCTCTGCGAGGGGGAAGATGCTGGCAGGGAGAGAAGAGGCCAAGGTCGAAGACCCAGTGAAAACCAGTTCAAGCAACTGGGATTTGGGGTTGCTTTTGAGCCAGGGATGGGATGCAGCTGCACAGGTTGTGCTTTGCTTTACCCCCACCTCTCCTCCTGTCTGTCTATTTGTTTAGCTCTAATGAGAGAAGGTATCCAAAGGATAATTTTCCTTGTCTCCTAAGATGTCCCGACCAGCCGGGCCCCCAGAGCAGCCGACCTGGGACACCTCCTTCCTCTTCCAAGGCCGAGATGTGGCCACCATCTTCTCCGAAGATGCCGCCCTGGTGATCGAATATTATCCGTACAAAGCCAGTGAGTCTGGGGACCCCACCGAGGATGCTCTCCCTCCGTCCCTGCGTTTTGCCGGGGGCAGGTCCTGGCTTGCCGTGCCCCCAGACAGTTGCTCTCACCCCTTCCCCAGTGTGGGATCCTCCAGAAACCCTCATTCCCGTGGGATACTCGGTGCTGCCCCTCACCAGCCACGTTTTTCGGGAGCTGACGGCACAGAGCGGTGGGATGCACGTGGACGGTCTCGTCATACAGGTGAGCTGGGGGCTGCGGGGTGGCACTGGGCAGGGTGGCATGGTGATGGTACCTATAGGTGATGCTACCTATAGATGATGCTACCTATAGCCACTGGCATGGTGGCAGGGATCTCTAGGTGGGCAGCCCAGTGCAGAGCTCCCAAGCATCCCATGGGAAGCCAGAGTCCCTGCTCCCAGTGGCAGCCCTGGACTCCTGGATTGCATCTGGGTGATGCCAAAGCCACCAGAGCCCTGGCAGGAACCCAGAGGCCAGCACGGGCTGTGACCCTCCCTCTGCCTCCCCAGGGCACGGACCTCAAAACCATGTCTGGGGCCATCCCGACTGTGGGGCTCTGCCTGCAGCTCCTTCGATCAGAGGTGAGATGCCGGGGATGGCAAACCTGGAGGCACGGAGGGTTGGGGACGGGGACAGGGCAGGAGGTGGCTCGTTAGAGGTGCCACCCCCTCTCCAAACGTCTCAGGCAGGGATCCACTGGGCTGGATCCAGGTTTTATCCCTTGTGCCTGTTGTCTCAGGGCTCTGAATTGCACCGCCGGGCAGTGGGAAAAAGCAGCGTCGTCCCTGCCCTCGCACACGCATGGCTTTCCCAGGGCTTTCGGCACGTACTGGTATTCCCAGGAAAGCCCAGCTGGAGGCAGGGGGGCAGGCAGCAGGCAGGCAGGGTACTTGGGAGAGGCTGTTCACTGTCTCCGTGCGGAGAAGGGCCAGGCTGGTTAACCACGGTGACAAATGTCCAGGCGTCCTCATCCTTCAGCATTTGTGGTCCCCAGGGATGTCACAGCAGGGAGGGAATTTGGCTGCTTTTCCCCCGGGGAGGAGGGAACCCCACTTCGTCCAGGACCGACCCTCAGGCAGGTTAGAATGCGGCCATGAGCCCAATCGATCGAATTGCTGCAGCTGCCAGCCTCTGCTCCCATCTGCAAAAAAAAAAAAAAAAAAAAACCTATCCATAAAGTGAATTTGGGACAGGTCTGGATGCTGCACTGGCAACCTCATCCCCTGCTCCATCCCTGGGGGAGCTTCGGCAGGCCGGGGCCGGCTGGTGGGGGTCTGCGGAGTGATTGCCCAGGGGGGTCAGCGAAAAGGGGTCTGCGTGTGATGAATTATTCACATGGGTGTCACTAAGTGCAGAATTAATCCTTTTGCTTCCAGCTGGCTGCTGCACTAAATTATCACTCGCAGTCATGCGGGAAAATGCTGCGGAATTCATTTAGCTGATTATTGTTTTGATCTGGGAGCTGTAATTTTTTTTTTTCCTCCTCTTCCCCAACATCTCCCTTTCCCCCCCTCCAGCCCTGCCTTCCTTAATATATGTAAGAGCTGGGGGTGGAAACAAAAACAGGAGAGCCAGAGCTGGCCCTGGGCTCCGTGTCTGGTTAATGCATCCAGCGGCAGCACAGGCAGACAGACCTGGAGCGATGCAAGTCAATGAGCGAGCTGCTGCCGGGCAAGCAGGGCAAGGGCAGGTTCCGCTCCTCCCGGCGTTGCCCAGGCCCTTGTTTCTTGCCTGCAGATGGGGATTTTCTGAGGAAGATGCCACAGCCGGCTGGCTGTGATCCCCAGCACCCCAAAACCGCAGCCCGGCAGGCAGGGGAGGTGCTGCCGTGGTGACGGGGGCAGAGCCTCTCCTCTCCCCCTTTGGGCAGCCCCAAGGGATGCTCAAAGGCTGGATTTCCACATCCTCAGCTTATGGATTAGTCTTGGGCTCAGCTTTGGGACAGCAAGAAGTGGCCAAAGGGGGGCCAAGAGGCAAAGAAGGTCAATACAGGACCCATCCTGACCCAGCAGGGCAACCTCCATGACAGAGCTGGTTTTGGGGTGCAAGGAGCCCCAGCATCTCTGCCTGCCCTCGCCCCGGGCTGTTTCACCCCGTAGCCCTCCCCAGCCAGATGGCAAAGGAGAACAGACTTACCGAGCTCCGCTCATTTCTTTTCTTATTTTTTAAATTTATTTTTATTTTAATGTAGAGAGCTGCAAATGCATAACCTAGATTGGCTGGGCTTTTTATAACAAACAGCAGCTAAATAAACCTTGGGCCATCTGTACTCCCCGGCGCAACTCAGAGCCGAGCGTAAATCCCGGCTGCTCCGCGGCCTCTGCAGGGATTTCACCGACTGCTACCAGGGGTCTGGATGCTCCCAAGCTTGGCTTCATATGCTCATGCTGACCCTCTGCGCTGGGAAAATGTCCGCAGTGCTGGGGTTTTCTAGGGATAAGGGGTTCCCCCTAAATAGGACTTATTCCCCGGTGTTTCTGCAGGGTCTCAAAACCCTGCCACGTTTGTTGTAGCCTCAGGAATAGGGTTTGGATCAGCTGCTTTATTAAAAGCCAAGAGTCCCTGACGCCAGGGATGAGCAAACAGGAGTCGCGTTATCCCAGGGAAAGGGCAGCGCTGGGTCGCAGCCCCCCGCCCCCAAAAAAGCACCGAGACCCCCAGCTTTGCCCTCACCCAGCCCCTTTCCCCCCTACCTTCGTCCCCCCTGCACTCTCTCTTTGGAGCCCAAACGAGAACAAAGGACTTTGATCATCTCGGGGAGACAAAGAAATCAAAGACTTCAGCAAAACGCCGGCATTTTAGCAAATTAACGGCTGTCGCTGAAAAACTGTTGCAGGGGGAAAACCAGCAGCCGACTCCATCCGCCTCCCTGCTGGCTTGCAGCTCAAGGCAGGGCTCCTGTTTTCCCTTCGTTCTTTTTCCACACCAAATTTGGTGTCTTGCCCAAGAAAAGATGAGTTTGGCCATGCAGAGGCCAGCGGCGAATCCATGCGCAGGGTGAGCAGGATGTGGTCCCCAATGTGCCCCGGGGGATGCTGAGCCCCATTGAGGGCTGGAAAATACACACCGGAGGCATCTTTATTCCCAAGGGATTTATTCATACCCCCCCCTCCCTAGTTATTAACCCGTCCTCTTTTACACTTCATTTTGGCACGACCCCACCTTGCTCAGCACGTTAACCCAGCACTTGGGACCTTTGTCACCTCGAGCTTCTGCCACCCACTGAGAACCCTTGGTCACATCACCCGAGGTGGGGTCTGGGGACGTGCCAGCATGCGGTGACAGCCTCTGAAAAAAGGAAAAAAGGGAAAAGCTAGTGCTGTTTTTTTTCCAGGCAAGGGAAAAAAAATCAACAGGCTGGCTGTATCGTTGCTTAAACAGCCTTAATTTATGTAATTGCTGCCATTTAAATCCAGGAGCAGATCGGCGCCTGGCGTAAATTGTCACAGCGCTGGGGTGTAAATTGTCACCGTGTCAGCCCGGCGATCAAACCCCTTTTGGGCTGGCAAAAAAAAGGATTTACAATTGGTTGGAAAGGGGGGAATCGCCCTGCGTTTCCCGCTCTTTCTCTCTGGCCAGGTTTGTCCGTGAGCACCGAAATTGAGGTTTTATCCCCAAACCACATTGCGGGGGATGCAGAAGTTAGAGATGGGCTTGTTTCGGGGAAGCATCGCCCCTCCCTGCTGAGCACCTTTTGGTGAGCTGGCTGCGGGCTTTCGGCACAGCCAAACTGCTGGCAGCTGAGGTCCTTGCTTGCCAACTCTTGATTGACACCTGTCTGACAAACAGATCACCCATTCCCCCTTATCGCGTGGCGGATTACAAGAGGCTTTACAGCATCGCTGCTGTCCAGGACCATCATTAGCCAGGGAGACCCAGCGAAGACCCCAAAAAAAAAGCAGGGAATGTCTTTGTTAAGGAGAATTTGTTGGTTTCCGCCCGCCGGTCCCGGGGGAGCGTTCAGGGCCGCGCTAATTGAATTAAGAGCACGTGCGCTCAGGCGAGCAGCTCTGCACCGGGCGACGGTGATGGGGCCAGGCCGGCCATCGCTCTGGCCCGGCGGGCAGCAGCTGTACACCAGCCCCGGTAATTGCAGGCAGAACCTAAACTGTTGCATTTTGCATGATGCTGTTCCCCGGGGAGGCGGGGAGAGTGGTGGGGCGGGGGGCATCTTCACCCCGGCTTTGATGCTGGAGGAGCTCGGCTGAGGTCGGGGCCGGCGGTGTAATGAAATGCAGCGGCACAGGAGACGATGATGCTGATGGTGTTAATGAGGCAGTGATGGGGAAGGGCACGGGAACACCTCTGGACACCTCCTCATAGCGGGGAAGGGAGATGCTCACCGCCCTCGTTAGCTGCACTAACGAGGTGAGGCCAGGCACGGGCACGGAGAAATATGCAGTGAGGGCCACTTTGCCGCTGCCCATGCCCACAGCCAATTTGGAGAGGGCGCCCAGCCTGATTGCTCGGCTGGCGAAGCAAAGAGAGCATCTGCTGGGGGGGAGGTTGGGGGGGGATCCGGGGATTTGCTAGGTCACGGTCGCTGGCTCTAGGGCAGTGAAATAGGTGGGTGCCGGGGTGCCAGGTCTCGATGCAAGGATCCCAGTGGCAAGGCAGGTCCCCATCACCCAAACCTGCCCCCATACTGGGAGCCGGGATGGCCAGGCCAGGGCGAGGGTCCCTGCCTGTGACCTTGCCATGGCAGGCGGCAGCGAGGAGTGCACGGACTCCATCATTTATTCCATTAGATCCGACTTCCCCCTCTAACTGGATTAGAGGGGAGTCTATAAAAGCCAGGCTGGCGGGAGGAGAGCAGGGCGTGCAGCGCCGGCCACGGGAAATGAGGGGCAGGGAAATCACATTACTGCTGCCGGCCGCGTCTGGCAGTGGGGCTGGCAGGGGGTTTTTTACCCGGGTACCCACCTCCTGCCCACCCGGGGAAGGGGAGAGATGAGCTGAGCTGGGCACGGACCTGCTATTTCCACCAGCACAGGCTTCCGTGCGAAGGACTGCCTCTTCCTCCTCCTCCTCCTCTTCCTCCTTGCCTTGTCGGTCCAGCACTGGCTCCCCAGGGATCCCCTCTCTGCCCCCAGCTCCCCTTGC